TCACGATTGCTAACTGGTTGCCATGTTCAGCTGACAGGCCAAAGGCTACCTAGAGTCATGAAGATGCAACCCTTCTCTCCCCATTAGAAGTGGCTGCTCCAGGGGAGGGTTATGGCATGTTGGCAGGGAGTGGTGTTTGGGAAGCTCACCCTGAAGATAAATAAGTTTTGAGTCCCCAGGGTTTCATTCTTACCCATTTTCCGAGTACTATGGTAAATGATGGGGTTTTCCTAGTACTATGACAAACTTTGGCTATAGTGTCAGTCTGCCCGAGAATGGACTCCATAAGCAAGCTCTCCATCAGTTTATTCCAGGGGAGGGCAATGAAACAGTGGCAGCTTGCCAGGGTTAGCCTCTGGGGGGCTGCTGCTATATTTACCGGCATGGCTGCAGGTACCGGCAACTGCAGCTCCTGTTGGCCATGGATCTCACATGGTGAACTGTTCTGCGTAACTTCCCGCTGCTCCCACTGGCTGGGAATGGCGATCTGCAGCCAATAGGAGCTGGGATCACCGGTACCTGTGCCCATGGAGGTAAATATGAGCAGTGGGGGACTGGATCTAGCTTGCGGGCTGGTATTTGCCCACCCCTGGTTTATACTGTCAAGGATCAACTTACACAAAAGGGCTAACAATGATCTTTTCCCCTCCAATGACAGTTCAGTTCAAGAGACTACAACATAAACTGGAAACTGAGAGCTATTTGAGGGCAGCACCTAGCGGGCGAGAGCTCCAATCCCTAATTAGGGACTTTGGGATCCTACCTTGATACAAATAATAAATAGTAATGCACAGGAAGATTGTTGAAACAATTTTTCATGCTTGTGAATTTTGATTATTCCATTATGCCTCTCATTTTAACAAGAGGAATACGTTCTCCTTTCCTGATGTAGCCAGATTCACACCTTGCCTTCCATAGGCGTGTGCAGCACATTTCATTTGGGTGTGCACCCAGGGAATTATTCTTTTTTTTAAAGGCGAACATTTTATTGAACACTCAATCATAAAGGACATGTTGTGAGCGAATGCGGGCTTTCTATACATTTCTACATTCAGCGCTTGTTGCATAATACAGGCAGTCCCCGGGTTACATACAAGATAGGGACTGTAGGTTTGTTCTTAAGTTGAATCTGTATGTAAGTCGGAACTGGCGTCCAGATTCAGCCGCTGCTGAAACTGGATGCCTGGGGCAGAGCAGCTGGGGTGCTGCTGGGTTGCTCCAGTAGCGGATCCGCGTAAGTCGGGGACTGCCTGTACAACAATCCATAATTTAAAACTAAAAGAGCATATCATGTGAGTAAATTAAAACGCAAAGCCACTTTTTTTTGAGATATTAGGATGTGCCTGGGCACACCCCCTGTGCACGCCTATGCTGTCTTCTTTGCTCCTGAGTAGCCAGTGGTGGGGCAAATCTTTCAAAGGCATCTTTCAGGTCCCCTGGATCAGATCCAGACAAATCCAAGGCCTAAAATGCAAACTGTATAAAGCTTGAGGGCAAAGATGTGTGAGAAACCCAACCTTATGAAGCAGAAACAGCAGGGAAAAGCAGAAAGTACATACCACTGCTAGAGCTTAATGTGATTTAGTGGACAAACAACAAGACATTACAGTTAGGTTTTACAATTGCTAAATGCATTAGTCCTTAAACAAACATCTAATGTGATTTTAAGCCTTGCTTCTTTCAGAGCAGTAGGCTTCATGGGACAGCTATTTTCCAGTGGCATCTAGCATCACGTCTTCTAGCTGCAGAATTGTATCAATGTACCTTTAAAAACATCATCGGAGTTCAGCCCAGGACACATTTCAGGTTTTTCGAACAGGTCGTAAACAATGTTATTGAGTTATAAGGTCTTTTGTGAAAGCTTGGGATGTTCTGAACTCGATGGCCATTATGAGATGTATACAGACCGTGGTTATGAATTTGCGTATCAGTGTAGATATAACACTCTGCTCATAATTTGGCCGCAGCATTCAGCTCCAAATCTCACAGTAGTGAGGTAATGGGTCAGGTAGGGAGAAGCAGTCTCTCAACCAGATGAGATTAGCTCTAAACACCTAGCATTGTCCCACACAGGAAAGGCAAGTGACAAGGCCATTCAATTTAATGGGGGAAACACCGGAAGAACTTGACATGGAAAAGAAAACCCCAGTCTCGGAAAGCTAAGGAAAGAGAGGTTTTTTTTACCATCATGAATCACCAGAGTCTGAGAGGAGACATCACTTTGGAGCAGCAAGAACTCTCTTACCTCAAACCCTGTTCAAAGAAAAGGGGTTTGAAGAGAAAGCTATCTGGAAACTGAGTCAAGCTAGGCAGGGTGCTATCCATGGAATGCTGGTTCCCCCTCTACAATGCCGGGAAAAGCAATATGTAACTTATATTAAAAAAGGGAATTTAGCTAATATAGAAACACAAACCTGAAGTTGTGACTGTGCTTATTTTTTGTGTAACTAGTATATGTTCCTTTCCCCTTACTATTTCATCACTGAGTGTGTGCTGTTTCTATTAAATCATCCTTTTGTCTATTTTTACCTCCAGTGGGTCTCTGTAGAGCAGGGCTACTGAACACGCAGCCCATGGCCTGTTTGTTTGCAGTGATTGCGGCCCACAGCTCGTTTGTGTGCGGCCCACGGTGCGGTTTGGGTTTACACAAGGCTTAACACACACCCCGCAGGTGGAATCCTTTGAAAATGGCCTCCACTGGGATCACGTTCCACACCGGCGAGTCAATATAATGGTCCTCTGTTGATATGTGTTTTAGTTGTTACATTCCTGGACTGTCATTGCTCATTAAAAGTGCAGTCATGTGGGTGGAAATCAGGTAAATATTGCATTTTATTAATATCCGCAGAACTGACTTAAATGGGGCCTGTGTGTTGTGTAGTCTTGCCTTAATCTTTGCATTCATGCCCGTCAGTGTGAAAGAACCTATCTGCATCTATTTGCATATATATTTGCATGTACATGCAACCACACTTAAGTTGCAGCCCTCGGCATGTGCTGTGTGTATGATGGTGTTCCAAAGTTGAGTAGCCCTGATGTAGAGCAAACTGCATGGAGCATGTGTGTGTCCCAAAGTGAACTGGTAACCAGGGAACTGGTTTTGTTCCTTTGGAGGTGACAAAGCAGTGGGGAAGAGTCTGAGTGGCTGCTAACTAAGAACTCAGGATAGATGGATTTGAGCAGATGTGGACTAGAAGGGCTAATGTCACCCTGCAAAGGACAGGCTGGGAGAAGCCAGGATGTGACTTTTATGCTTGTAGGAGGGCTACTGGTGTTGAAGCTCTGAGGGAATGTCTACACTACAGCACTAATTCGAACTAACTTAATTCGAATTAGTTAATTCGAACTAAGATAATTCGAACTAGCGCATCTAGACCAAAAAACTACCGTATTTTCTGGCGTATAAGACGACTTTTTATACTAAAAAACATCCCCCAAAAATCGGGGGTCGTCTTATACACCGGGTATAAACATACTGTAGCTTCGGCTACATACAGAACGTCCCTGTGCTGATACTGTATGTACTGCGCTGAGCCAATCACGGCAAGCGGTGTCATCTATTAATGCATACAAAGCCTGCT